CATACGAAACGATTGATTGATGTGACGGTTTGGTTACTTCACGGTTTTTTCAGGAAAAAGTGCTCGTTACTTTTCAGACGTGGCGACTTTTTACGGCAACTACCCCACTTTTCTAATATACACGTGGCAGACTTTCATTGATGGCCGGTTCAAATTCAAATTATATAATAAATATAAAAGGATTTTGGGGGTCTCAAATAAAAACTTTACGCATCTTGGTTGAATATTTTCCCCAAAATCTTATTTCCTTATACTTATCTCTTCACACAATTCTCCAAAACGCTAACCATGGCGGCATCAACTGCTCATGTTGATCCATGACAAACTACTGATGAAGCCACATCTCAACCGCTATTGAATATTTAGAGTTCCGATTATCGAGTTCAACCAGACGTTTCCAAGTACCCAGAAGAGTTACAAATGCTGATCGTCGCTCTTAATCACTCCGTGCTATCAACGATCATGACTTCTTCTTTTTACGTGCCCATGACTTGGTTATCATTGGCCGGTGCCACTGTTGTGTTCAATAAAACCTCCAAATTCGTGACGTTTCAGTTGGCGAATGAAAAAGAAGTATAAGCTCACGAAGAAACACTTTGCACAGATCATGAAACTTCCAGACACTGGTTCATTTTATGAAGTGACGAATAAACAGGTGATACATATGTTCAATGAAATGGGTCATCAACCTCCACTCACTGGACTCCGTCGGTTCAAGAAGTCTTCTTTGCCCTGTATCTGGAATTTTCTGTTTGGGATTTTTCTTCGTTGCCTCACAGGTCAAAGTGTTGGTCTTGACAAAGCCAAATTGGAGATATATGCCTTAATTGATGGGTTATACTATAATTTAAACATGGATTATGTTACACAGTTATGGGAGGATTTCCGCACATGTATTTCACACACCAATGTTGCAAATGGTGTTTCTTGTGCTAGATATTAGAGTTTGATTCTACAAGAGGTGTGTGAGAAAGAAGGAATTCTCGTTCCATCTCATGTTCCAAAAGCAGAGTTCACACTCTATCAACATACGAAATACGTTGAAGATATTCCAGTGGTTTTTCCGTCAGTAGCACGAATTCCTGATGCAAAGCTTCGGAAGGTGGATCCAAGTAATCCAGTTCTTGTTGCTTATCTGACAACAATCAATCCTGGTGTGCACTTAGGGGTTTTGTTGCCCAAAGGAATCAAAGGTTCTTCGAAATGTGATAAAGGGTCAAAGAAACCTAAGTCTGATCATGTGATAGTGGAAAAGGAGGTTACAAATCCGGTTCAAGATCCTGTTGTTCACGAAATTCAAAAGGTTGTGGTTCCTTAGAAAATAGGAGTTCTTAAAAGAACTAAGAAGCCAGCACACATACCTCGTCTTTCACTAGAAAGGCCTATTGTTGACGAAGTTCTTGAAAATCCTTTTTCTTCACCAAAGGAGGATTCTGTATCAAAACTCAAGAAGATTCACAAACCTCAGCTCAATCGAAGGGGTGTGATCATTCGTGAACTCCATGCTCCTGTTTCTCCTGCTTCAAAGAAACGAAGAGTGCATGCCATGTTAAAGAAGATCAAGAAGAAGAAGAAGCAATTGGAAGATCCTCTGGATGAGGTTGTTCAGTAGAATGATTTCAAAGATGGTAGTGATCAATCTCCTATTCGCAATGCAAATATTGGCTTTGAATTACCTCAAAGGGATTCTCCAGTCAAGTCAGATTTTGAGGCGCCTGGAAATCTTGGTAGCTCTGTGAAAGTATCTACTACAGACACAACTACTACTTTGGGTGATTCTTCAACTATTTACATCCCTGAGCAGACCGTAGTTATACACCCGAAGTTTCGATGGCTGAATTCGTTTCGTAGGAGGTTCGAACTTCAGGCATCCCTGTGAACATATCTCATATGGACACAAATGTCAACAAGGGTGATGAGATGTTGACTTTCGAAGCTCAAGGTAACACTTTTGTTACAACTTCATCAGTTCCTATTTCCCTTATTTTTTCATCCACAATCGAAACTTCATTTATCGACACTTCTACTTCCTTACCACCATTTCATACACCCATTCTTACTTCTTTACCTGCTTAAACCATATCACCTACTTATTCCAACATCATGAATCAACCCATTACTTCTCTTTTCTTTTCCCAATCCACCAAAGGAGAAAAGCCAATTCTAAAAGAAGATCAAACTGATAATGGTGATGATGAGATGGTCTCGTTTGTAGAGATTCAGTTCGACCCAGAGGAGGACAACATTCTTGATCATATGCTCATGTCAGCAAAGTATTTCAATATTTTAAATCATAAGTTGAATTCGTTATTATAGATTCAGGCTGATACGGGTGGTCGAAAAACTGTCTCTGGGATTAAGGTTGATCTGTTGCTCAAGTCCCAAGAGCATCGATTGAAGCAATAAATGGAAAAAATTGAAACGAAGCACGAAGATCATTGGAAATGTCATGTTGAGAATTTTCAATTTGAAGTTAAAGAACTTTGTGAAATAGCTAAAGAACGACATATACTTTTTGTTGAACAGGTCAAGAAAGTTGAAGAATCTATCAATATGAAGGTGGAGTCCCTCAAGTCTGAATTTTCGAAGGAGGTGATTAAGCTTGAACATAGTTGTTTGCCTTCATAACAAACTTGATGTTGTTTCTGAGGTTATCCATAGGGGTGCAAACGAGCCAAGCTACTTGTGAGCTACTCGAGATCGAATCGTTAAAAGCTCGACTCGAGATCGATTTTAAACGAGCCCGAGCCGAGCTCGAGCTTAATATTAGGCTTGTTTATTAAACGAGCTCGAGCTCGAGCTCTATTACTTGGCTCGATTAGGCTCGCGAGCCTAAACGAGCCTACATATATATAATAAAAAATTATTTTTATTTATATATATTAAAATAAATAATAATTTAATAAATACCATTTTAGGAAATTCGAGTGTACCGTATACGAGTCGAGCCCAAACCGAGCCCGAGCCTGTACAATTCTTAACGACCCGATCTCGAGCTTTGTACCACAAGGCTCGAAACAAGCTGGGTTCGAGCTCGAGCCTATAAATATTTAAACGAGCCGAGCCCGAGCTTGGTCAGGCTCGAGCTCAGCTCGGCTCGTTTGCAGCCCTAGTTATCCAGAAACTTGTTGAAAATTTCATGTCATTCTCGACCAAGGATTCGCAGGTAGTTACAAAGATGGAAGAATTTCTGGCAAGCTTAAAGGAGTCGATTTCGAAGTTTGATAGTTCTCCTAAATCTTCTGTTTCTCTGGAATCATTATCATAAATGTTTTCTTCTTTGGAGTCCAATCTGAAAGTCAAGCTTGCTCCTCTTCTAAAGCTTGTGAAATCTGATGCAACAGATGCCCCACCAGTTAAAACAGGGGTGCAAGGGGGATAAAAGGGGATTGGCTCATCAAATGATCCTGATCAAGGAAAGGTGGCTGGGAAGGTGATAAGCACGCAAATTACAACATCACTTCCCACTTCTATTTCAACAACCTCAACCACAATGACTTCAAAGCCATTAACATGAGTCATAGTCATTGGTTCTACTACTAGAGATTTAAGTTCGAAACCACCATCTTCGAATCAAGTGAAAGGTGATAGAGGGAAGGGTATTGTGAAAGAGATTTCGGAGGAGGAGAAAAAGAAGAATATTGAGAAAGAAATTGAAAAACAAAGACAGATTAACAACATCTTGAGTCAAAGGCAAGTTGATCCACCAAATCTTGATAAAGGAGATCCAACCAAACAATATTGTTATGAAACAATTTAACAAATTGTTTGTTCTGGAGAGATGCATGATTTTAAGAAAGCTCCAAAAAAGAGTTATGAGATAGAAAATACTGATTTCAATCAGCTAGATTTTCCCATCAATCATATGATGTTTATCTCAGCTAAATATCAGCTGGTGGATAAGTTTGATGATAAGGAAGAATATAAGAGGCTTAAGTTGAGATTTCATACAGTTCATGGAAAGAAGGAGGAGGAAGTCTGGTCCTTAGTAAAAATCACTACTAGAAAAACAGCCTTTTACGACACGTAATCAATGACACGCGCTGATAGAGGACACACATTTGTGCATGCCCTAAAAATTGATGTCAGATTTCCAAAATATGAAGCATAGAGGACACACATTTTTGCGTGCCCTAAAATTAGTGTCTAATAAAAAAAACACAGAGGGCACCTTAAATAAAATGTGTGTCGTCTAACCATGTCGCTTTATAAATTTTAATGAAACACGCGTTTCATCCAAGGGGGAAATGAAATCCAAAATTTAAAAAGCCCGCTTTGTTTCCACCGACTGAAAACCCTAGCTCATCCCCGCCGAAAATCCCCTTTCTTTCTTTCTTCTCTCTTGATTCTCAAACCTCCACCGCTTCACTTCCCACAAGTTCGCATCTTCGTCGCTTGTTCATATAGAATTCAACAATTTCTATGGTTTCGATTATTGAGTGAGGTACAGGGAGGTGTAATCATTTTGGACTCTTTACTAATTGACTTGAAATTGAACCCTAAAAACTCAATCCACACTTCGAACTTCTCTGATTCTCTCTTCTTCCACTCCCCAATCTCTGATTCCACTCCAATCGAGCTCTACGAAGGCTTTGATTGGTGGTCATCGATTTGCACCATCACCTCCTTGTTCGTTCCTAAAATAAAGACCTTAGAACAGTATCCGATGTCGAAGACTGTCGGTTTGTCTCTTAAAAATCAAATCGTTCATTAAGGTGTACTTGAATGGATCGATTGTGCTTCAGCAAGGAGTAGGTCGCCTCATAAATTCAATAGTTGTTGTTCTTGGTCCTGTATGTGTTGAATTCTCGATTGCTTTTTTAATCTGGTTTCCTATCACATGAAACTTCCAATTTGCCTCTATAATCAAATAAAGCTTCAATTACAGATATTATTCGCTAATTACTAATCAGATGCGATCCATATGATTGCTAATGGTCATAGGATTCTGATTTTTTGTTAGAGCAATACAAGAGGCAACAACGGATCCTATAACTCCAATGAAAGGGGAAAATGGAGATCAAATGCAATCTCCCCCAAGGTGGAAGGTTAAAATGCTTTATGATGGTGATTGTCCACTTTGCATGTGTGAGGTATGTAGTTGTGTATATACAAAAACCATGATTTATCAATTCAAGCACAATGAAGAGCATTATTTAAACTTAATCACGTTTCTTGTTGCTAGGTTAACATTCTAAAGGAAAGGAATAAGAACTACAATGCAATCAACTTTGTTGATATAAGTTCAGACGATTATTCACCAGAGGATAACCAAGGCCTAGACTATGAAACTGCATGTCAGTAATATCGTATTGAAGTCATAGGTTTATCTTGGTGGAAATCTAGGTCGACACTCAGTTTTTTGGTTGATTAAATACAAGTTATTCATTGATTATATCATTGCAATGCATATAAAAAGAGTTGCTATAATATGCATCTCTCACCTTCTTAAAGCATTTCTAAGAAAAAAAAAGAACTTATATAATGACTATTTGTCAACATGGAATGTCTAGGGCTTCAAATTACTTCTTTAGCAATTCATAAAGCTCCTACCATTTTTGTTTAACAGCTTCTCTAACACTCTTGGGCAAAAAGACTACCCTTCTATCACCTGAACCTGTTGTTGCATCTGGCGTTCCATGTTGCAGGTGTGTTATTTCTTTGTTCAAAATTGAATTTCACATTCTCAACTTCCTTTAGAAAATCTCAAAGTAATTGTGTAAAACATATGGTGGTAAATTGTTGAGATTTGGGACATTCTACTGAAAACTTCTTATGTTTCATGTCTGCAGGTTAGTACAGAACCCTGGTGAATTTGTAGTGACCTTTCCAAGGGCTTATCACATAGGATTCAGCCATGGTAATGTTTTGCAGATTTTTTTTGTGGTTTGATATATTTTTACTTTTATAGACTTTAATATCAAATCACTGTCTTTAAAGGTTTTAATTGTGGGGAAGCTGCTAATTTTGGAACCCCAAAGTGGCTTTCAGTAGCTAAAGAGGCTGCAGTGCGCAGAGCTGCCATGAATTTTCTTCCTACGCTTTCACATCAACAGTTGATTTACCTGCTTACCATGTCATTTATTCCAAGGTCAGCTAGAAATCTTTATAAGTCTTTTGACATATGAAGCTAGAAAGAGTTATTCCAAATATATCAGGAAGGGTAAATTGGTAATATTCTTTAAATGTATTTCAATGGCAGGGTGCCTAGGCCCTTGTTACCAGGGATACGAAGCTCTCGTTTAAAAGACCGTCATAAAGAAGAACGTGAGTTGTTGGTGAAGAAGGAATTCATCGAAGATATCCTCAAAGAAAACAAACTGTTAACCTGTATTCTTAATAGATCTTCCTCTTATCATGCAGTTATATGGAACATGAGTAATGGGTATTTAAGACCTAGAATATTCTGTTCAAAGCATGCAAGTGTTGAATGTGAAGCCACAATTGTTGAATGTGAAGCCACAATTGTTGAATGTGAAGTTTTTTCAAAGGTTGGCTGAAGACCCGGTTGTGTTTTTTGACTACTTCTGATTTCCATCTCTATATAAGAGATTCATCTGTATTTGTAAAACTTGTATCTAGAGTAACACAGAAAGAGTGCAGATTAGCACCAAGAAATATAAATTCCTAGTTACCGGTGGACGTAGGTCAGAGAAGGACCGAACCACGTTAAATCCCTAGTGTTCATCCTTGTGTTCTTGTTTTTTCGTGAGCTGTGTGTGTGTTTAGAATCGTGTGTTAAGTGTCTCGATCCTAACAAGTGGTATCAGAGCCTTGGTTTAGCTCCAAAGGGTGATTTTCTGTTTTTTGGTCGAAATTTTTTTTCGTCAAAAACGATTTTGGTGTATACCGTTGGAAAGGTCTCGTTCCGAAGATTCTGAAAATATTTTTTTCTGAATTTTTTGACCACCGGAAGACGTCCAAATCGCCGGTCAAAGGTTTGCCGGAATAGTGACCGGGAAAACCAGTTCGCCGGAGAAGACGACACTATAGCACCAGACACTGTAGCAGTCCGCCGGAGAAGACAACACTGTAGCAGGAACTGTAGCACGACGTCAGCAGTGACGTCAGCAGACACTGTAGCAGGCACTGTAGCAGATTTGAAAATTTGCAATTTGGCCCCTGAATTTCCAGAAAATTGCAAGATAGGTCATTGTTCTTTCAAAAAATGGCAGAAAGCAGTAAGCTTCAGATTGAGAAGTTTGATGGGAAAGATTTTGGTTGGTGGAAGATGCAAATTGAAGATTTGCTCGTACAGAAAGACTTGGTCGCAGTTTTAGGTGAAAAACCGGAGGCGATGACACAGGCAAACTGGGAGACTTTGGATAAGAAGGCCAAGGCATTTATTAGACTGACGTTGTCAAAGGATGTTGCCTTCAATATTTTGAAGGTGACCTCGGCAAAGGGAATCATGGAGGCATTGTCTAATATGTACGAGAAGCCGTCGGCAGCAAATAAAGTCTTCCTGATTCGGGAACTAGTCAACACGAGGATGAGGGAAGGAAGTTCAGTTACAGTACACATCAACAATTTGAACTCGATTTTATCCAGACTTGGGTCAGTGGGAATAAAATTTGAGGACGAAGTTCAAGCTTTACTACTGTTATCATCATTACCTGACAGTTGGTCCGGAACAGTTACAGCCGTTACTAGTTCCACAGGATCGAAAGAGCTCACTTTTGAGGGAATTCGGGATTTAATTCTAGGCGAAGACGTCAGACGAAGAAATTCTAGGGAATCATCAAGTGAACAATTGAATGAGGTCAGAGGTAGAAGAAATAACAGAGGTAGTGGGAGCAGGAACAAGAGAAGGAGTCAGTCGAGGACTCGAAATGATGTGACTTGTTGGAACTGTAAAGAGGTTGGACATTTCAGGAATCAATGTCCAAAAGACAAGAAAGAAGTTAACGTTGCAATAGACCATTCAGATGATGATGTTTTGATCTGTAGTGTGGAGAGCAATGTGGATTCCTGGGTTATGGATTCGGGTGCTTCATTTCACGCTACCCACATCCGTGAAGCACTGCGGAATCTGAAAGAAGGGGATTTTGGTAAGGTAAGACTGGCGAACGATAAGGTTCTTGATGTGACGAGCATAGGTGACTTAGATCTGAAGACTCCAGTCGGTCCATGGACTTTGAAGGATGTCCGGGTAATTCCAAGTCTGAAGAAACAGTTGATTTCTGTTGGGCAGTTGGATGAACAGGGACACGAGGTTAAGTTCAGGAATGGGCAGTGGAAGGTTGTCAAAGGAAATCTTGTGATAGCTCGTGGACATAAGAGGGGTTCATTATATATGGTCAGTTTACTGTCTGAGGGAGTAACCGTCCCAGTTCAGAAGAAAAACAAAATCCGGTTCATAGAGTCTCGTGGACAGAAGAAGGTTTGCTTTGCAGATGGCAAACCCAGAGTCACAGGTCAGATTCAGGTTGAACGTGTTTGGAACGGTTCAGAAAAACCAGTCAAGGGCATTCATAGCAGTGGGAGCATGGGCTTTGTTTCAGCTAGAATACCCAGAACACAGTGGGTTAAGAGAACCAGTATTCCATTTGTAAAAGTCTCTCCAGATTATCTGCTTCACATGGAGAGTGTCGTTTGTTCTCAGGATGTTCCAGGATCGGGCAGTTCATTTCAGTGGGAGCCGGTGGAGACAGAGAACAGGTAAATTGAAGAGAAGGCCGGGTAACTAGGAAGGAGTTAAGATCAAATTTTTTAAAATACAGATGCACAGTTGAAGCACAGGTGAAGATTGTTCTGTGGCTTCAAGTGGGAGATTGTTGAATGTGAAGCCACAATTGTTGAATGTGAAGCCACAATTGTTGAATGTGAAGTTTTTTCAAAGGTTGGCTGAAGACCCGGTTGTGTTTTTTTGACTACTTCTGATTTCCATCTCTATATAAGAGATTCATCTGTATTTGTAAAACTTGTATCTAGAGTAACACAGAAAGAGTGCAGATTAGCACCAAGAAATATAAATTCCTAGTTACCGGTGGACGTAGGTCAGAGAAGGACCGAACCACGTTAAATCCCTCGTGTTCATCCTTGTGTTCTTGTTTTTTCGTGAGCTGTGTGTGTGTGTGTGTTTAGAGTCGTGTGTTAAGTGTCTCGATCCTAACAGCAAGCAAAGTTGAAGAGCTGTTGGACTTCATAGGTGGAGCTGATCAGGTTTTTTCTTCACACTATTTTTTAATATTTTTCCTAAAGTGATTTTGTAATACTTTTGTTTTTAGTGGATTTTGTTTCTGATATTAAAAGTTTGATTGAATAATAAATAGTTTATTGAGGAAGCAGAACGGAGTTTACATGATGCAATCATGATAGTAAGGCGGGCCATGAAGAATTCCACGGTGGTTGCTGGTGGTGGTGCAATCGATGTAATTTTTTTTTTAATCAGAAATTTGAATTTAGTGGTGTTATTTTTTATGAATTATGATGATGTGATAATTTGAATTGCAGATGGAGATAAGCCAATACATATGGCAACATGCAAGGAATATAGCTGGAAAGTCACAGCTTTTCATAAATGCTTACGCTAAAGCACTTGAGGTAGGTTTTTGTCAGTTGCATAAATTGTTTTTCATTACTATTATATCATATTATACACTAAATAATAACATACTAATTGTATGTTATTATTTATAGGTTATCCCATGACAACTTTGTGATAATGCTGGATTTGATGCAACTGATGTACTTAACAAGCTCAGGCAGAAACGTGCACTTGTTGCTAGTTGGTCTTTGTCTCTTGCATTACATTTTATTTATTTTTTTATTTATTTTGTAAAGAAATGTAATGTGTAATAATATAGTACAGGTGAGGGTGCCCTACATGGAGTGGATATTAACACAAGCGGAATTTCAGATTCCTTTGCCAACTTTGTGTGGGAGCCAGCAGTCGTAAAGGTAACTAACTAGTTTCTTTCTCCATGTTCTTTAAGACTCGGTTTTCTTAAAAAAAAACTAAACTAACTTACTTTGATTTTTACTTACTGCATATAAATGCTATAAATGTTGCTACTGAGGCTGCATGTCTTATACTAAGTGTTGATGAGACAGTCAAGAACCCAAAGGTAACTATAACTAACTACAATCTAGTGTTTCTGTATAACTAACAGTCCATCAATGCTTGTCCTTTTAAAGGAATGGACATTGTCATGGGAGCATGGTTATTTCTCTAATGATGATGGCGATGGTGTTGATACACAAATGGATGATCAACATCCAATTTGGTCAGAACCCACTCCATCAATGCTTGTCCTTTTTAGCTGCAGAGTACATAAGCTTGGATGGAGATTCTTCAATTGCAGTTGTAAAAGATAGTAAGGTAAGTCTTGAAGGTTTGTGTATAAAGAATCAAGCATCTACCAAAAGTATCTTGAAAAAATTTAATGATTTGGATCCCAATGATGATATACTTATTAGTTTAATGAAAGAAATTAGAGCTGAAATTATGGCTTCAAAGTTGAGTGCTTCTGAGTCTGTGACTTCAATTAGAGCTGAAATTAGGGGTGGATTTGTCAAATTTTGTACTATGAGGCTTACAGCACCTGATGTACTTGGTGAGTATAATAAATCATTATATATTTTCTTATGGTATTAAAATCTATATGAAATGAAATGTGAATCTGTTACTATTATTGTTTGTTTTTACCATAAATGATGGTGTTTGGTTATGTTTGAAGTATTATATAGTGTATGGTATGGTGGCCTAGTTAAAGGAGGAATCATAAACCTACTATTGGACAAATCTGTTGCCTCAAATCATTAGTTCTACAACTATTATGTATGTATGTAACAGATGTGTTGTATGTATTTTGTAGGTTAAATAATGAAGAAAACAATCAGAGAAGATGGTTAGCTATGAGTCAAGGCTCTCGACAAAAATCCAAAAGTTTGGAGCTCAACTCAGATGAGGGTCTTTTGTGGCTGGTGTTATGATTTCCACAATTGATTTTGCACAACATACTTTAGATCAGGTAATCTATCCATTCAATGCAGCCCGGATGGTTAGCTATGATTTTTGTTGGGATGCTTATACATGTACAGTTCTTGTGGACAGACATACACATATTTGTTGCAGGTGGAGCTCAACCCTAGCTAGTACTGTGTTTATCATTATATATCTAGAGAGTCTTTTGCTATAAGCCTCATCTTTTTTGTGTGTGTTTTGGTCTTATAATATTGGATTTGTTTATGCTTAGATAGATTACAAAAAGATTGTTACACAAGTATGGGCCTGACAGGGTTGTTGACACCCCTATCACAGAGGTTAAATAATTAGTTCTTCCCTCATATATTTAGGTCCTTACAAGATACATCTGATGATGTGAAGGTATATTAAGATCATAAGATCATAAATTTCTTTTCTAATATTTTTCAAGAAATGTCAACAACATGCAAGAGAAATCATACTATGCATTGGTTCCATTGTTAATGAAAGCTATTGGATGGCAAGGAGGAAGTATACTAGCCCTTGAGACACTAAAACATGTGGTGGTTGCACAAGGTCTTAGGTCAGTAATCATGTCGTGTATCTAAAATCCAATCGTCTCCATCGATCCAAGTCGACCTCGATCTAGATCAAGGTCACCGACGGTTGTTAGTTTTATAGGAATGTATAACCCATGTTAGCAATGTATTATTTTTGTTTAACATTTGAATGATTATTTGTATGACATATTATACTTTGTGCAATTTATTTTATTTTTTGTGTATGAAATTTTATTTTATATTATGAGACAATAAATGTGATGTAATTTGAAAATTAGTAAATTTATAAAAAAATATATTTAATTTTTAAAACATTTAAACTTTATGACACGAAAAAATGTGTGTCGTATTTCTTTATGACATAGGCTTTAATGATACGCAATGCAAGTCGTGAATGTGCATCGTTTTACGACACGCGAAAGCGTGTCATCTTCTTTATGACAGGGCCTTCCTTGACACACATTGCGCGTCGTACACGCGCGTCGTAAATGCGCGTCGTAAATAGACGACTCGCAAAAGCGTGTCGTCTCTCGTTATGACGGGGACTTCCTTGACACGCATTTGCGCGTCGTTTGAGCGTTTTACGACACACATTGTGCGTCGTAAAAGGCTGTTTTTCTAGTAGTGAATTGTTAAACTTCTAAGTGTATCCAAGGATAATTTATTCGAAGGGTTGTTCCAGAACTTTCGTTATCATGTGGTTCGAGCTAACAACATTGCATGTGACTTCTCGGTGGCAGATTTTCCTTTGATGAATCTTAATGATCTCATTTGTGTTGCGAAGATCTTGAGTGGTGTGGATGTGTCAAAACTACAAGTGAACAACAAATATGATTTTTTAATTGGTTTTGCACATATCAAGCTATTCATAGACAATTACTATAATTATCTAGCCTTGACCGATGTAGAGCTTGCTTTAGCAACGGGAAGACAAGTGACAATGCCTCAATCATTGTTGAAAGGTCAAGGAAGTATGAAGGATTTTGAAGATGGAGAGATTTGTGTTAAGCCTCTCGGAGTTGTGTTTGTTGGGAAGAACAAGAATCAAAAGATTATAATTTTTTGTTCAAAGTTGAAGATGTTGAAAGATATACGAATACACAATACACGAGTCTTCTTGTTCGTCTTAACAATTGCAAAAGGAATACAGTTGGTGATAGGGATGAGATTCAAAAGACGATTATATGGTACATGGAGATTCGCAAAGTACTTCATCAAGCAATGAAGATGCTAATGACGTAAGATTCGGCACTTCTCACAAAGAGGGAGAATATAGAGTTTGAAATGTGGTGTGAGATGTCGAAGCATCTTTAGTCATGTTTAGTGTTGAAGTTTGTTTTCATGTATTCGAATGTATGTATTTCATAATGGAATTTTAGAGTTCGAAACTTAAGTGTCTTAGCCCTTATGTATTTTTTGTATGCTTCTGTTAACTCCTATAAATAGGAGTAGGTATAGGAGTAAGAGTAATTTTGTGAACTTGAGAACACTTTACTCTCTCAACTCGTGTATTCTTTCAGAAGCAATAAAGAGCCAAACATATTATATTTAAGTTTTGTGTTCTTTATTCAATTCATACTCTGATTTCATCTTATTCACTCGATTCATACAAAATACATGAGGTTACTCGTTGTATCGTGGATGCTACCCCTGTGTTGTTCGGTACCATCAAGGAGGGGATTATGGAACAGATGGATGAGAGGCTTAGGAACTTTTGAGCTGACATTGTTACGACTCAGATAGGAGCTCGAGCTCCCTCATCTTGGGAGTTCGAGGATTATGGAGCTCCTGAGTTCTTTGGGGTTAAGGACCCCATCGCTAGCCGTCATTGGATCGCTGACATGGAGTACGCTCATCGGACGAGTTTTTGCACTGAGGGGGAAAAGGTGGGATTTGCATCCTTCCTGATGAGGGACCGAGCATGAGATTGGTGGGAGGTGGCTACCTGAGCTGTTGTGACAACGGCAGTGGTAGTGATGACCTGGGAGGATTTTGTTCAGAGGTTCCAGAGGGAGTTTACACCAGCTATCGAGGTGCAACAGCTGGCGAGGAAGTTCCAGGACCTTCGCCAGACTACTGAGACAGTGGTGGAGATTACCGCCAAATTCAAGGAGAGGGCTTTGTTGGTCCCGTAGTATGATGTGGATGAGGAGATGAGGAAAACGAGATACCATGGCATGCTAAGGGAGGTTATCAGGGAGTTCGTGAGCTTTTCAGGGTGCAAGGCCCTGAATGATATGAGCAAAAAGGCTCGTGAGTGGGAGATTGAGTTGGAGCTTCGGTCAAAACGAAAGACGGAGCAGGTACAGACAGCAGTGGGCTAGGCGAAGAGTACCAAGACCTCTGATGCTCATGCCAGAGGCCAGCGGCTGTTCCAGTTTCTTTAGTTATGGCCATCTGGGCCACATGAGTAGGGATTTCCCTAGTAGGGCTCTGATTTGCTTCTATTGCAATTAGACCGGCTATAAAAAGGTCGATTGTCCGAGATTGTCCGGAGGAGCAGTGGTGGCGCCTGCGCCAGCCACCTTGAGGATTACTGATTGCCGCCAGGGCAAGGTGGAGGCTCCTGTGGTGAAGAGCATGACATTTCAGCTGACCACCGATGAGGCCCGTGCAGCGTCGGATGTGGTTACTGGTATGTGTTTTATTCTTATATTTTATTGCTTTCTTTATTTCATGCTCATGTTTATGTTTTGTTTTATTCGGGGGCTACCCGATCCTTCATATCTTATGCACTCAGCAAGAAGTTTTATGATACTCTGGAGACATTGGATTCTCCACTAGAGGTAAAGATTGCAGATTATCGTACTGTGAGTGCTTTGAGGGTTTATCACGGGTGTGTTATGAATCTGTTTAGCAAGAGGTACTCTATTGATCTGGTGTCAATTCATCTGCATGGATCGAAGGTTATTATGGGGATGGACTGGTTGGGCCCCAATGGGGCCATGATTGATTGCGAGCGGCAGTTGGTGAGAGTTCGAACCCCAGGTGTGGGAGAGCTGATTATTCCTTGCGAGAGGGCTTCGCTTGGTCCAGCTCTCTATTCAGCTGCGAGGGCCAGGAGATATCTGTAGTAGGGTTGTTTTGGGTTCCTAGCTTATGTTGCAGACACTTGAGATGAGGGAAAGACGGAGCTAAGTGGAGTGCCCATTGTCCGGGATTTT